TGGAACAGAAAAGTTACGGTTGTATTCCACACGAATTTGTAATTGTCAATAATTTGCATCTTGAGCGTTTTTTCTAAATCATTGTGGATATAAGTATATCTATCTTTGTCTGTAGTCTGATTACTTATCTATTTACTTGCTGTGCTTTTTACACAATATAATTTTTTTATTTACATGAAATCACCCTCAATTAGAATAACTTAGTTGGTTTTATAAGTTCATTCTGTATCTGATTTTTCTTCGCTTAAATGATAGTCTACTAATAATCATCACTCCTCAGCAGTGCTGAGGAATCCCATACTAGGACGAGACGGCCATCCAGTGCTTCCAGGTTTTTCATGCTGGTCTAGCTTCAATCTACTTATGATTTCAATTACAAAATCTTTATATTATTATGTTAGTATATATTCTATTTGCAAATGAGTTAACATAATTTTTATTCTATTAGTGATCATGTGCTCAGTCAAAATTATATTAACTAAAAAGTGTCATATTTAAAGATAAGGTTACTATTTCATTATGACTGTTTATTTAATGAAATGACATTTCTTGTTTAGTTTCTCTGTAGGTATTCAACTCAGAAAATAACAAAACTATGATGAGAATTTTATCAAAGAAGGAAAGTTTCTTTTTGTTGTTTAAACGTTGGCATATAATTTCAAGAGAGATGAATGAGTTTGATGAAGTGTATTCATTCTTATAACAAAAATAATAAATAACTATTTTGATGAATGAATTTGATTACTGCTTTGTTTTAGAAATTATTGTCATTTTAGTGAAAATTTATCACTATCCAAAGGATCCAGACTAAAAATAATGGTGGTTTTTTTTCAAATTATTGAATTCAATGGTTATTCTGATAAATTTTGTCATATATCAAAGTAATATCTAATTGTTTCAGTAGAATGTTTGTACCCAAAGTCTCAAAGGTTGGAATTAAGATTAGATAAATTTCATCTATTATCACTACTCTGAGTGTGAACGTAGACATGAATTACGACTAGGTACTGTTGAGAGTGCTATGAGGATTCATTCATCTTATACAATGAATTTACTGAAAGATAATTTATCTTTGAGATTTGTTTAATTTCACTGTCGTTTTTGTATGAAGATAAGAATACCATAGGTGACTTCCCTAGTTAACACTAGGGAATACATTGTTGGCTATCATTACAAAGTCCTGGTTATACTTTTCTTCAAGCATATGAAATCAAAAGGAAATCGTTTAATAATAAGTTGGATAAGAATTTTCTTAGACTTAACAAAATTCAAATTGTTGTAACATTTACCAAAAACATAATTACAGTATCAAAGATATATATATACCATTCAAATTAATTAACCTGTGTGTTGAATGTTAGCGATATCATAGGATGATTAACTTTCCTTCTTCTGAATATTTAATGTCTTTAATCTTTCAATAATCAAGAAGGAAATACAATTCAGTATTGAGTAAACTGTTAAATATATTTTAATTACAAACGGACAATTGTTATTGATGGGATTGAACAAAATCGATTTGACGATAAACAAACTTAATATTATTTGACAGTCAGAAAAAAAAACATAATTATATGTTGCTCTTGGTCCATTTCTTGCATCTTTCTAATTGCGATCTAGTTAAGATCAACATGTGATTTATCCATAATTTCACTTTACTAAAGAGTGAACATATGAGCTTAACTTTATTTGTAGTAACAGAAACATTTCTCATGATTTCTTCTAAAGTTTGTATTTAATAAAATATTAATTTATTATTGTGTTGATGACTAAGTAACTAAGAGCAAACTGCATTGGGTTTTACAAAAAAAACAGGACACATAGAGATAAGTAATTGTATCTTGATTTATAAACATTATCTAATGTATTCTAGTTAACAACGTGTTCTCTATTTATTTACTAGCCATATTGAAATACCAGAGACTAATTAAAAAAAACTCATTTCTTTGTAGTTTTAAAAACATATTTGAGTAGATGAATTGAGGAATTTACAGACTAGACGTTACGGCCTTCATCTGTTTCACGATTAATTGAGATATCGCAGAAAAAACAAGAAAGGAAACGTGAAATTTCACATCAAAAGAATACATTCATTTCTGTCGTTAGACATTGAACAATCAGTAGCAAAATTAAACTTTGTAAACTTTTCTTCCTTTTTTTTCGTTTTTGACGATGAAACAAAATACTAGAAATGTTGAAAATACTGCTCACAATATCCATCACGATACTATGTTCTGTTTATCTTCATAAAAGTTACAAGATTTACGATATACTAGATAGATTTATACAGATTAGCTGGGAAAGATTTGTAAGTTAAGTAAACTAATACAGAAGTTCAAATACACAATGTTGTATATTATAAGTTTGACTTAGCTAGTCTCTGTTAAGTTACAGTAAAATAAGCAGTTAAATAAGAATTTCAATAGTTGGGATCATGAGTCTTTTGAAAGTAGACCACCATGGAAAACATGGAAGCACTGGACAGCCGTCTCGTCCTATTGTGAGACTCATTAGCGATAAACATCCACGATCCTGCCCCGTGAGGTTCGAACCCAGGATCTATCAGTCTCGCCCGCGAACGCTTAACATCTAAACTACTGAGCAGGTCGCAATCCAACGGTGTTAATGTCTAACTTCAACTAATCCACGAAATTGAGCAACACATCCACCATTGTCATCGGTGAGTTACTATCTCACAACAGACCCGGTGTAACTCCACTGGTCATTGCTTCTCACTATAACTTCAGGAAATACCTATTGGAGCCAGTTAGATAAGATTCATATTTCACTCATTAAATTATATTTATTTACGTCCAAATTTTTCATACAATCCAATCACTATTTTTGATGATTTTAAGTCAAATTTTATTATTACAAACTTTATCGTTAAACTTATAAATGTTGGTAAAACAAAGTATCTTTATTCGTATTTGAACTTTGATCGTTAAGTTGGATCAAAAAGTTATCGATGAACAACATTTCTCCGAAAATATTTTCATGTTATCAAACAACCGAGTAACGAAAAAATCAAAGTGTTAACTTAAAGTTTCAGTATTATGTAGCACTTAAAACAATAAACATGAATTTTATGATAAAGATACATGATGCCTATCAGTAGAATCGAAAACGAACGTTTAGTTCTATTTTGGGACTACTTACATTCCAAAGTTACAGTTCATCATGAGTCCGAACCCATAACGGCTCCTTTTGATATGCCATCACGTATTGCCATTGATTTTTAGGACTGCAGTTGTTTAGTCTTTTTTTGGCATGTATACATTCTGTGTGGATTGCATCGGTATTACCCACTGTTACAAGCATTGTAACCGGAGATGGATGTTGGCACATCCAGTTAACGAGTACCAAATAAAACGAAACACGTGTCGTGGGCTCCACTCCTAGCCGCCATCCATATCTGTTAATAATTCTTGTGGAATAGTGGCAAGATCGAGGCAATATGCAGAGGATGCAAAGATGCCGAAAAAATTTATTGAACAATCCCAGTCTTAATTGTCAATGGAAAGATTCAAACAACTAATATAAATTAATTAACATGAAGTTTACTTATATTATTGTGCTAGACACCAGATTATTGTTAAAATCGATAACAAAATAATAATCGAAATAGTCGCATAGTATTAAAATAACTAAATCTTCGAGCAATTAATTTGTATACAAGTATTAATATAGATATACAAAGAGCATGAAAAGTGAAATGGACTAAATGTGGATAGAATGTTTATTGTTGTCTATTTGGTCTTGGCCAAGAGTCTTCTAATATAACGACCAGATTTCGTGATTTAATTCGCACTATGAGTATTCAAAGAAACCTTTACTCTTCATTTAGGCAATGAAGACTTTACAGAAAAATGATATTTTGAAGTGAGCTAATTGTTTAAGCGTCCAATAATCATCTAAGATCTTAATTTCTCAATAGTTCTATAACCAGAATACACCTTTTCATGATAAATAGTCAGTATATCAAATAATTAAAGCTTTTTAATTTAACCTTGAATTTCACTTCTTTATTTATTATAATGAGATGAATCTAACAAATTCTGACTATTTTTAAAATGTTATTGCATTAATCAATTACTGAATGTGCTACATGTCCAAATACATTTTTTTTAAAAATTTAAATTTGAGCATCATAAGATAGAACAAACAATCTACATTGTTATAGTTAGATTTATTTACTCAATTCAATCATAGAACGAATGAATTATTGATTACCCACATTGTTTGTTACATTATACCTCTTATTTTATTTCATTATATTTTGTGTTACCTATTGATTTTTGAACATTAAAATGTACAATAGTAAACTTATGAAACTAAAATGTACTGCATAAATTAATCGATTCAATTACAGGTCAAATCTGAATACAATGACCAAATTTTATGTTATTCTATTAGATTATATAGAATCCATAGTAATTGGTTCAAAGTTATTGAGATGTGTAAACTTTTAGCTTTATTCAATTTACTATTTATATGAGTCATCTATTTTAGTGTATGTAATTAATGTTCAATCTGTTTCTGTGCATTGATAAATACATTATTCCAAGTATATAAAAACATACATACGTGGAACTATGACTTTTGGATGAACTGACAGACAGTAGAATTTATAAAAAAATTTAAAAAAAACAAAACAAAACTAAAAGTGATAGGACTTATTTCAATATCATTGACTTTAAAATTACTTCCTTATGTTTATTTACTCTTGAATTCATTGAAAACTGAAAGAATTTCTACCTCATTAATTACTACGTTTGTTTGTTTTTTTTTAAAAAAAGAAATATATAAATTCTATGACATATATGGTACATAGATTCTATTGAACTTCTTGAAGTATAATCATTGGTTACATTATTGATATTTACTTAAATCAACACTATAATTACTTGTATTAGCAATAATATTCTACTCAGTGATTACATTGATACATCTATATATATATATATAAATACTGAAATATTAATTCTATTTATCATATTGTTATCTTTTGATTTTGTATTTATCAACATAATATTCAATCTATTATTATTATGTCACGTAAATCCATTCAAAAAAGTACATTAAGTAATTCAGTACCATCATTAAAACAAATGAATTATGATATACATGAATCCATTTATTTTAAATGTTCTGGTAAATTATTTTTACAACGTACATTAAAACCAAATGAAGAATTTAATAAAGAATATATGAAGAAATTAATTAATAAAAAACAAATTATTCAATCACAAGAACGTATGATTTATTTAACAGAAAATGGTATAAGAATAAAAGCTTATAAAAAACCAATCAATTCATATAAACGTTTATATTTAAGTTATGAACAAATTGAAATTATTTATATATCGGAAGGTATTAAAAATATACTTGTATTAGGTATTATTAGTCAAAATCAACAAATACGTGCTTATGAATGTACAAAAATTAAAAATGATAATGATTTTAAAATATTATGTAAATTACTTGTTCAAGCATGTGAAAATAATGAAAGAAAATTAATTGATATAAATCCAATTGGTACATTATCAATGTCATCATTATATGATAATAAAAGTTTTAAACATAAATCACTTGGTTCAATTATATGGAGACAATCTAATGAAATTGATAATGAATTAGAAAATCATATAGAAAATCAATTATATGAAAATGAATTAATAGAGAATAAAAATGATCTACATAAAATAAGATCACAATATTCACAAAATGATTCAGTTAATAGTATGATTTCATCAATTTTAATTAATGAAAAAACATCTATTGAAAATCTAAATCAGAAAATTGAATCAAGTGATACTGAAGGGAGTGATCCAGTGAAATATTATAATGGAATAAATGGTGATTTTAATGATGTAACTTATGAAGATGATTATGATGATGAAAATGATGATGATAATATTAATAATAATAATCGTTATGCTTCAGCGATTTACAAAGCAGACGCTTATGTTGAACCTATACTTACGCCAATATTTCATGCAGATGATGAATCAGCAAAGTTATATTATAGAACAGGTTATGAAGGTGATTCATATGAGGAAAATTATGAAGTGACAGATTTGTATCCACCATCTAAATGGCCAGCTGGGGTTACTTTTATTTGTCCAGACTCTAAATCTGGTGCAACTATTACACATCTTGGACCTGTTTATTTATATTCTGAAAGATTTGTCGATGTTGACAATGACTGTATTGAGAATCAGACATCAACCTAACATTATAATTTGATGAAAAATTAAATGATTCGTTACTTAACTGTGTTTTTTTTTTAAATATAGCTTGTAAATTTGGACAGTATTCGGATTTTATAATTAATTTACTTAGAAGTTTCAAGGTACTCGTTTATTAAACTTATTACCATGGATTAAACCTGATGAAATATTACTGCATGTTGTGAACTTGGTAAGCCATTATCTAACCTTCTGGGCCTACCTCAACTATCGTACTTAAAAGTTCTTCGGCAGAGATTTCAGCTTTAAGCAACCTTGTCCCATTAGAAATGGCGTTCTGAGATGTGACATAAGATGCTAATTTTTTATCCTTATAAATATGCAGTATCTCTTAAAAAAATAATTACCGAAATTGTATTCAATTTATGATGAGTAACATCTCTATTTCAGAGACAAAACACTTCGTAACACATCGAAGAAAACATTACCAACGAACGTAAGGTATACAATCAATTTTTAAAATTGATCTTCTGTTTTTAATGTTAAGTTGAATAACCTCAAAGGTATTTCAAAAGTTCCATATTCGATTTTAAAAGGTAGTTACTTTAATAATCAATGGCATACGGTTTAGAATCGATTTATACGGGCAACAGAATGTAGTAACGTTAGCAGGTTTAGTTTTCCTAAGGTTTAAATACTATGCTAGAATAAGCTTGAAAGTTATAGAAATGAAATAAGTAATTTCCGGTTCATATTTTACTTTAAGCTCCCTATTTTTATTCACGGATAAATTTCAGTATGTATTTTTATCCGGTATATTGATGAGATTCATAAGTTACTACTATAATCATTGCTTGATTTATATAAACTTAAAATATATCAAACCACCGTAGTCCATAAGCTCTAGATGTAATTCATCTTGGGTTCTGAAGTCGGAAGTCGGATTCGGTCAATCCTCCCGACAGTGATGAGTAAATTAGAGTTTACATAATTCCCTACTCCACTATTTTATGTTGATAGTTCAATCTGCACGTTAGAAGTGTCAAAACACTAAATTCTACTTATTTCTACTTATTAGAGATATGAAACTGATTTTCGATACAAATTTACCGTAATAAAATATCTGTGAAGAAAAAATCATTCAATCCAATTCATCACTGAAAATATATCATTGTTTGTAGTTTACTACTTGTAAACCTTATAAGATTGAACTTTCCGGAGGGAATCATGTTTAAATATTCACTAATATGTCCTATTAACAAAGTAAATTTATTAATGTTCTGACCTTCAAACAAAACGTTTTCTCTTAGTGTTCTACATTGTCAACATACTTCAGAATACAAATGTTCTCTTCTCAACATTCCACAATATTTGATAGAAATAACAGGACACATTCGGATATCAGGTAAAATCATTGAAATCATGGTTATTTCGTTTCAGAAAGTAATAAGTATTAGATTAAATAATAAATGAGATATTTCGTAAATTATTAATTTATGATAACCATTAACGGTTGTTACTTTTACATATATTACAAATAAGTTACTCATTATGTAGTAGCTAATTCACATATAATCTCTCAGTCCTAAATTCTACAATTATTGGCAAATATGAGTTCATGGATAAAGTAGGTAAATAGTCTGAGTTTTTACGTGACTTTAATAAATTACAAACTTATTACGTCACAATCTAAGAGATAGATAATAAATATATCAGGTGATAATCTCTTCGTAAAAGATAATTGCTCAACATAAGTAATCTATAATTATAATCAAATATAGGGATCTTGTGGACATTATAGTAATTTATTAGTTGAATTCACGATTCAAAAAACCACGGAAAATCTGGAAGTTTTAGGTGACCGTTTCGTCTTAGTATGGAACTCCTCAGTAGTGCGCATCCACGATCTCGACTCGTGAGATTCGTATTCAGAATATATCGGTCTCGCACATTAACGCTTAACCTTTACACCACTAAGCCGGCCGGCATACAACGGTGTTAATATCTAACTTTAACCAATCCATGAAATTGAGCGACACATCCACTGCGCACTGTTGAGGAGTCTCACAATAGGACAAAACGGCTGTCCAGTGTTTCCAGGTTTTCCATGGTGATATAGCTTCAAACGACTCATGATCTCAACTATTAAAATTACTTTATTATCTACAAAACCCCTTCTGTTACGAATTAATATTTATTTGAATCGAAATAAGTTTATAATGCTTTAGTTAAATTATATGTTGAGATATTGATGAGAAAATATATGAATGTATGAATCTTCAGTTCTTATTACCGTTCAACAGTAATGAATATCCAACAAGTCATATTACTAATATTATATTGAGTACGTTGATTGCTTCTGGTTTATACTATATTTCCATTTAGATTCTGTCATTATCCTATGATGATAAAAACAAAGCGAATGAAAATATTATTCAAACACTTAGTTGACCTAGTATTATCGAGTTTGTTTGTATCAGAATGTGTTTTTTTTAATGCTTTCGATACACATTTCATATTATTGTAAGAAAATTGAACTATGTATCAGTAATGTTGTTTACACTAATGCAAAAATCATATTGTAATACTAAAACATCATAATGTGAATTATTCCCAGATAAAGTTTTGTCAATTATGTAATTAATAAGATGGGATTACATTTTTATAGATTATCTTAAGTTGTCTGACATAGATCATGTATTCATGAATTATACAGCAAGTAAACATTCCTTAAAGTTCTATACCAATAACATGTATTACATGGTTCGACCTAATATAATGAAATCATCCCAAACATATTGATATTCTATAATTTAAATGACAGTCAACTTTTTGCTAATGAGATAAATAAATATTGATTGATTCTTTCTGTTTTATACATGGTTACTAGAATTTTAGAAAAAATACATGCTATAAAATAACTCCGTTAACTCGTTTCCGACCTATATGGAAGTTTTTTTTGAATAAACATTATTATCTAGTGGGCGGATTATGCTTCTCCAAGAGAGGTAAAAAGCGTAAGAAAGAAGTCAGTAATTATTATACAGTACTAGCAGGATTCTACTTAGTGATTTTATTCCCCCAGTAATTCTCATAATTTACTTCAAGTTTGTTGAGGAACAGTTAACAAAAAAACGTTCTTTCTGTTTATAGTTTTTATTGAATAATTAAATAAAAATAATAATAGGATAATTATAAAACATAAAATAACTTTACATACTGGAAAATTTACATAAAAGAATATGAAATAGATTTTGAGTCTTATTAATTTGATGATGAGAGAATTTTAATGCATTTTAAAGGAAACTTAATCACTTGAGATACAATAGTATATGATACAATCGAAGCTAGACCACCATGGAAAACCTGAAAGCACTGGATGGCCGTTTCGTCATACTGTGAGACTACTCGACAGTGCGCATACACGATCCCGCCCTGTGAGATTCGGACCCAGGACCTATCATTGTCGCGCGTGAACGCTTAACTACTAGACCACTGAGCCAACCGCCATCCAACGGTGTTAATGTTTAACTTCAACCAATCTACAAAATTGCGGCATAATAGCAAGAAACGGCCGTTCAGTGCTTCTAGCTTTTCTGTTATGGTCTAGCTTCAATTGACTCATAAATTCAACTACTAAATTGCTATAATATCCACAAAACCCCTCTCTGATTACAACAATATATGATGATGAATTTGATTTAGTTAAATATTTCTAATAGGGATATTCCAATTTATAAGTAATCTTTTATAAACGAGTTGATGTGAGGTTGATAATGAATGGATGATACGTGTACGATGAAAAGCTAAAAGATAGACAATAAAAAAACTGTGTAATTTTTTATAGCAACCGTGTTACCGTTTGGAAGGAAATAAGAAGACTGAAAAATTCTCAGATCATAAATTGTTCGAGGCAAACAACAATAGAATATGCTTGAAATAAAATAATGAACTCAGTAATTGAAACGTATTTTAGTCATGGTTTGTATGTTGGACTGATCTTAATCGGACAGCCACTGAAGACCAAGAGAAATAATACAGTTTATTTTCCTAATATTGGACTTCTCACGTGTGTGCACTCATGACTAAAGTGATGATAGAACCGAGAACAGTTACGTCTCATAATAGACTGATTGGCAATATTTGTGATCATCATCAATAGCTGTGAGTGATAAATTTCAGTTCTGACACAGTTGAACTGAACGGTAGAAAGTCTGACTAGAACTACAAGAATTATGTTTCAAAGTAAACCACTAGGAAGAATATAGTGTTTCTCACTATAAAAAATTGTTGAGATTTCCAAAGGGGTCGTGGTGCGCACTGCCAAGGAGTCAGGTATTAGCAAAACATTTCTTCTCAGTGTTTATCTAACTAAGATAATCCCATGAAGTAAGCTATAAAAATGAAGGCGACGGAGTGATAAAATATTCTTCTTTTCGAGGGTATTCTTTACTTGAGCTGTACAATCATATTTAAAGGAAGATTTTATACAGAGTTTTCTATAGTGAAATAGGAAGTAATCTCTCATTCTATTTGGCAAAGTTGTGAAAAACAATCAGAAAATTTAATTTATCAACTACAAATTAAGTAATTATGCTAAGAATAAAAATCCATAAATGAAATGGGAAAGGTATCTGTCCATTTGACGACTACGTAAAAGGTGGAGAATAGGTGAACAAGTCGTAATAACAACCTATGAAATTAGAACAGGTGTTACGACAACAGTAAAGTAAGGTAATGAACATGTCTCTTCTGAACACTAATATAATGTACTAGTTGATCCATGCAAAAATTACTTATCCGGACTATTTTTGACTTTGTGACGATTCATGACTGAGTTGTTGAATGATCTGTATCAGCACTTTATATAACGAAGAAGGGATGTTCCTTCATACGTGTTTGGAATGTGCACCTCAATATAAGCTGCATCATCAGAACAAGGCAGTTTTCCATGAACGGTAGCTTGATATGTTTGATGTTTTTCCGTTGGAGATGAAACGAACAGGAGCCACTATTGAATAAAGAATCCAACATGAAAAATTTCACTTTGCATATTTTTCCATGGATTCAAATGTCATGAGTGATTGATTTACCTACCGTTTTTCAAAACAACTTTAATCCACTACAGAGTTCAAAAAAATAATTATATCTAGTGCTTTCAAACAAGGTCTAATGAACGACTTATTAAAATTGTTTAGATCTTGATTTTATTTGAAGAATTCACCTATTAAATTCACCCCTTTTCTTAGAATTATCAAAAGTTATTCGTAAGACTTAAGTTTCAGTGATACACCGTCACTTTTCATCAAAAAATAGGTAGTTTACATAGAGTGATTACACTGTTCCATCAGTTATATTAAAATGTTTACACTGAAATAAATTCTTTAACTAATGTACAATTGATATATATAGTAGTAAATTATGAATTTACAAAACTACTTATGGTCATCTTTATTTTGAATAGACAATATAAAACCAAGGTAGAATAGAAAGTTTAATAGTTATTAAACTAAAATTAGATTGAGAAAATTTACCGATTACAACATTTTACACAAGTCTGCATTACATGATCAATAACTGTTTCATTACAATGTATATATATATATATATATTACTTGTTAAACAATGAAATCTAATCTGCTTCACTGACAGAAAACTATAAGATATGATGAGTTAGATGCATTGTGATCAATCAAATTTTGAATATAAAATCACTAGTAACTAGCTTCAATAAGTATTTACTAGAGTTTTAGTGAGAAGCCATGATCAATAGAATTCAATCAGGTCTGTTGTGACATAGTAACTCATTGAAGACAATAGTGAACGATGGCAAAACTTCATGAATTGTTTGATGTTAGACATTAACACCTTTGAATACTGGCTTATTAGTCTGAATATAAAATCAAAATACTTTTAATAAGTATCATTTATATAAGAACATCAGAATATTAAATAATCAATATTTAAATCATAATGAGTTGTACTATGTGATATATCATTATTATTAATAATGGCTTTATTCAATATTATATTTGGGTACAATTAAAGAATTCTCAGCAAATGGTATTTCAACAAGTTACTTACGCAAACAAACAGAAACAAAGACAAAAAAGGGAGAAAAAGGTTTGAAGGAAACCTGAAAAACTTTCCAAATTAGAGACATGTTAAGAATGCAGATTATTGAATAGATTAACTCTAACAACCTGTTCTTCATACAGTATATTTACTAGGTAAGGTATTATGGAACATTTATACTTTTGCTTGAGTGCTTGGATTTTAATGTAATTACGTCTCGTTCTACAAGGAGATATACAAGAAGAAAGATATGAGTGAAGAGGATGGTTAGTATCTAATAAAATAAAACCTGTCAGGAGTTTGCATGACTTTGAATGACTTCGAATGATTCATCACACATATTGCTAACTGCCTTCAGCACTCTTTGCAATACAGCAAAGTCTTTTCTCAAAAACCCAGGAAAGAATAATGGAGAACAGTAAAGAACAATAGGTAATATGCAAGAATTGACAAATTGTAAGATTAAATGACGAGTAATTCCAAGAGAATGCAATCTCTTTATGTAATAAGTCAGATGGAAAACCTTCTTCGATAACAATAAAACCTGAGAAAACCAAGAGAAATCAGAGTAAAAGGCAATACGAAGATAATTGACCTTCGACACTATGTTTATCAAAGAACCTTCAATGGTACAATCATGATAGGATTTCAAAATGATGTTTAGTTTCCGTTCATGTCACATACTAAATTCAACTACTTGACATTTAGACAAATTAAGTATAACACCATTACCAACAGACCAACAATTAATATGAGACAAAAACCTCAATATCAATCTAATAAAATTCTAATCATATTTATACCGATATTATTAAAATTACTTATTTGCATATATAAACATAATTATCAACTAATTATTATTTACAATTCAGAACAAAACACAAGTGACTATAAGTTGTAATAATAAACAAATACGTGTTTACATTACTATTATCATATAAAAATGTATATTGGAATGAGGGTTGTTTTTTTTATTAAAAGAAAAAAAGAAAGAAAAGTATCATTCATATTCATAAAGATCCATGAATATTCATTGACTATTTAAAATCAAATTTATTCATTTTATTTATTCATTGATAATTGAATTATTTTCATTATTTTCTTGAATTTCATCATTATGATCTTCATTATTAGATCTATTTAATTCATTTAATATTATTTGTCCTAATTTTTTACTACGTATAGATTCATTATGAAAATTTTTAATTATTAATTGACCAATAATTGGCATATTTGTTAATATTTTTAATGAATTATCAAATATTTGATGAAATATTGTTTGTATTTTAAAATGATCATTTATATTTTTTATATAAATATATTGATAACAACGTTTTATACCATTTGGTGATTGTATACCTAATATTAATAGATTTTTCATATATGGTGTAAAATAATATACTTCAATTTGTTTATAATATAATGTATAACGTTTATAACGTTTTGTATTAATAATATAACGTTTTATACGTAAACAATTTTTACAAAATAATAAATATAAACGTATAGAACATATTGGTTTAATATGATCAATTTCATTTTCAGCAATATTTCTATCAAATAATTGTAAATGATTTTTAATATTTAAATTATGTATTAAATAACCATAACATAAATGATATATTGATTCAGTATAATTAATTGATTGATTAATTTCTAATTGATTTATATTATCATTTGTTGTCATAATGATGATTAAAGTATAAAACAATTTTTGATAATTTGTATTATTGCACTAATCAGTAATATAGATAATTGAATAATTTAATAGTAATATGATTTAAGTTAAAAATTTTACAACTGAATTGTTTTATTTCCAATTATATTTTATTTTTTTTTATACTTTTTTTAATAATCTGATTCGTTATTTAAATAAACAATTTTGGTAAAATATATTGATTGAATGTTTTCCGTTTTTTTTCTTTTTTTTCTTGTTTTTTTCTTTTCTTTTTATACAAAATTATTAGTTGATGAAGTTATGTGTTTCTATGTGTGTGTGTGCATGTGTGTGTGTGTGAATATTTTATAGAAAATTCACATTAAACAATTGTACTTTCCATGATAAATTTGATTGAGTTCTTATAATCAATAATAGTAACCATAATAATAATAACACGACCAAACCATTCAGTTCAGTGAATAAAATTTCATCAAAATGAATTATGTGTATTTATGTGTGAGTATATGTTTTTTCAAAAAAATTATAACAAACATATAAATGAAGAATAATTTTTTTAAAGATAAATTTTCAGTTCAGATTCTATAATTATATATCTAAATTGAATGATCCATGAAAGGCTTAAATTTAAGACAAAATAGATTGTTTAAAATTATAGTATATGAATTTTAAAATGAATTCTAATAACGTGGCGATCTACTTGAATATCTGGGCTACCTGTTCCTCCGACCTAGATATTTCATCAAGTTATCTGTTTTCTTGTTTGTTTTACCACATCATTATGTCTATTGTGCTCATAATCTATTCAGGCACGTTTATGAAAAGTTTACAACCTTTTGCTATACGGGTTACAAAAAAGTACAATAAGTGACATCATGGTGGCTGGTAATATGCATTAAACCGAATGTGGATTACCGAACTCCTAAAATCTTACTAATCATCATTCAAAATTTATCGTCACAATCGATCAAGATATAAGAAAACGAAACTTGTTGAAATACTTTATCTTGAGAATTCTATATTGTACCAAAAATATGATGTTGAATAAAGCTTCTAATAATAAAAATAACACATCAATGTTACGATAACTAATATGAAGTATTGTCTTGAATAAGTTTACATGTTAAATAAAATTGTGAGATGTAATGATCAAAGATTGAATATTGTGTTATATAGTTCCAATTTTCTATTTCTAAGAAATTATGCCAAGCACAGTATAAGGATCGTTAAAAGTAATAGTCATCTTGAATAAACCGGTTTAGTATTGATGAAATTAATTAAAAAGTGAATTGCAAAAAAACGTTTTTTAAAAAAAATATCCATCTAAATCTTGTTTATCGTATCTCAAATGAAAGAAAAATAAATCGGGTAAACGTATTGAATGTACTGTGGGTTGTAAAATGAATGTTCTGATTTATCTCTGATATTGATTTCTAAGCTATTCTGAAAGAATCTGTTAACTGAGGTAAAACAAAATAAGGACCATTCACTTTTAAATTGGAATTTATTAATATGATAAATTATTGAGCTATTCTGAATTAGACAGTGATATAGAATTTTTAATAACGTAACATTTTCAGAAACCATTTCCTTTCTCTAATGTTAGCTTAGGCTCTTTAAAGCTTTAGAACACACCTTCTAATCAAGATTCGTGTATATCCGTTACAGTTGATACGTGGTGGTAACGAACCTCACATAAACTTTGTAGCTGAAAAACGAGCACATAAAGTGTAGTTATAAAGGAATTCCTACTGCTGGAATTCCTTCCTATTGTTTAAAAAAAACACTTGGTTTAATTTTTTTTCTTTACTTTCAATAATAATAACAATAGCGTACAATCGCAAACTGATGAGATATAAACAAACTCCGTACTGATGTAGTACTATCCAGTTTTTATAACAACTATTGTTATTAACAGTCTAAAAACAAATTAAAATGACCTTAAATGAGAAGTATATCAATAAAATTTCTTTATATATCGTCATACACAATGCCTACTTGAAAATGAAATCTCATTCTCATCATTTTGACCTGAGTGAATTTAATAATGCAAACCACTTCAAAACTGTTTTTCATTTTGAGTATTTTCTGAAATTTTCTTAATACATTATTGACATAGGCTTGATCCCCGGTGAGTCGTGGGGTTACGCTACTGTGCAGCCTAATACTAGGACGAGGCATACGTCTACTGCTTACTGCTTATCAGTAGCATTATATCTTAATCTGATTTGTAATAAAATGAATGCCTAGTAATAATGCATACGCTGAAGCAGTGAACAAAGTGTAGGACTGGCAGTTTAACGAAAGTAAACGTTTTATGAATATAGATGAAGCAAACAAATTTTATGCATGTACTCCTTTATTCCTTGTGAACCAAGTAAAGTGCTCCAGTGGTATCGTTTTTCATCAGTCGTTAAAGATTATTGAGATTCGAACATTGTAGTGGTAATAAATAAATTTGATATATATAAATGATAAGAATGGAGGTTATGTGCGAATCAATCAATGTTATTACTGCCTGCTCACAGACGATCCCAAACTCGTATTGTATAGCAATTGTTTTTATACGTATTTTTTGTTTGTGTCTGTAACCCTCGTCCTTATACAAAACACTTTTTTTGTCACAATTAGTTTGAAGAATACTTGAGATTTGAAGTAACATTAACACGAAAGTAAATAAAAATCAAAAAGTACTTTTCAATCAATTAGCTCATTAAATTCCACAAAATAATAATTGGATGATCTCAAAAGAACTTCGTCGAGATGAAAACTATGGTATTTAGTGATAACCAAATCACTGATGAAGTAGCTGAACAGGAAACAAATCTGATAGCGATTATGGTATTAATGTTGAACACATAAAGTATTGGATAAAATCTTCCTTTTTCTAAAACTTTGTTTTATAAAATAAAGCTTAAATTTCTTTGGATTTTTACACTGTTTAAGGTAGTGGGTAGGAAATTATGAGAAGTTCCAAACTACTAAGAGATAGCTTCTAATATTGTGCGGCTTACACCAGATTTTTACGCGGTGTAATTTCTTGATGAGAACTTGGTTCAGTCTAAACAGAAACGTTATAATAGTGATTTATATTACTATCATCTAACGAAATCTTTGAGATGTTTATTTTTGTATTTGTGTACAAAAAAGAATTTCTGAAACCTTTACTTCATCATAAATTCCTATTTAATGCAAATTTGACGTCAAAAAGTAATCATAATATTAGGGTTCATATTAGAACGAAACGGCTATCCAGCATTTCCGGGTTTTCCATAGTGGTCCAACTTCAATTGACTCATGAATTCAACTATTAAATAAGGTTTCTTGTTCAGAATAGTTTCACCTAGTTTAAAAAATGTATTTAATTATAATTTCACATATTGTTATTTCTTTTAGTTTATGGTATTTTGACAATTGATTGATTATCTTTAATTACAAAAGTACACAAAAACTATGTTCATTTAAGAGTTCTATACAAAAAAAAAAGAAAGAAAGAAAGACTATTAGTGATTTGAACGTATGGTATCATAAACAGATTCCATTGAAACTTAACAAATTTTCACAGATATAACCATGTACAAATTATATATAAATTCTATTGTTTATTTAGAGTAAAATATGAGTACACCTACATTCTATTCACGTCCATATAAACATATATAATCTTCATGTTCACCTTGAATATTTTTGTTTTTAATGGTATGCAAAATCATTAAAATTCTCTATCTTTATATTGTCTGAATGTCATTAAATACAATGTGAACTAGATATAAGGTGATTTTAACCTTTAGGTTATAATTAGAAAAATAATGAATTTTTAATTATCTATCATTATTATTAGGGTTTTGATCTGATGATCTTTTATATATAAAATGAATGCTGAAGAAAAAACGTTTTTTAGAATTCAGTTTATATCATTTTTATGATAAAATTAAATTAATTTTTTTCAAAAAACAACGCCTTATAATGGTGAATTGTATCACTGTAGTAAATGAGAACATAGATGAGGACAACCGATTATATTCATCTCTTTATATGAATTACTTTACCTGTAAATTTTCTAGACTATGGAATAACCTACCACACTCTATCCGTACGATAAAATCACTCCCATTATTTGTTCGCTGCATCGATGCATACTGCTCCTCTAAAAATGCATTGAATTGTTTAGCACCTGTGAGTGTATCTCATTCCACAAGTAATATTATAGGAACTTTAAGTGTTTAGCCATCTTTATTAGTGAATCCCCTAAGTAAAACTACCCACTTGCTGTCAATATGTTAACACCGTCCCTAGCAAGTTTAACTAATTTGAATAACATAAACACTATATCACTGTATCACATAACACACACATTTAGGTAGACCTGATTCATATATTTTGGTAATTACTGCTTTGTTTTTCCATGCTCTGTGTTTTCGTTTTAATTTCCCTAGTTGTAGATAATTATCATTATTTCGATCTGGCACACAAAATGACCTTAATTACTCCGTTCATAAATCAACAGGCTGTTCATTTAAGAAGTATTAAAAACTCCCGGCTGATGAATTGGATCACTGTAATACAGGTACTACCTAAACAACTACTGAACTAGTATACTTAAAACTTTCTTCTATCATATGTTTGCTCTGTACATATAATGTTACTATTTATATCAAATTGATCATACCTATATACTGGCGTGAATTCTGTAATTATTATTTTCAGAATATAAATAAATTAAATTCGACACAAAATTACAGAGTTACTTGGTGAAATAGAAAAATCACGTACTCCAATACTTCATTTGCAAAAATGTTCATTAATTGTTTTAGATTTCATTGTTCCTGTATTTTTATACCAATTAATTTCTGTTCCCGTTCATTTGTCTTCGATTTTCTTAACATTCTCTTGCCTGACATTCTATCCCTGATTGACGTTATATACTACATATGTCGACATATTCTGGTTAGTGTTTGAATAGAATGCTGGTGAGCGGCCTATGCTCCTTCACGAAGAGTAACAGGCGT